AAAATCGTCGATCTATCGTCGATTATTACTCCATTTTCGACTCCTCCCGCACCATCGTGTTCCTTTTATTGTTCTGAATCCACCGGTTTCGTTATTGTCTCCATTGTTGCCAACGTGTGAGGGGTGAGGAAGTTCAAGTTTCAAACGTTTTAAAATCGATCGCTCCATCATTCAAAGTTGTGAACCGAGCTTGGTAGGTGTCTCAAAATCCCATAAAATAGGTTTAGAAATTTTTGTAGAATTTTTTGGACCATCTAGGCCGCCGCACGCGCCCCCTTGCAAGTGGGGAAATTTTACCGCGTGGTGGACAAACTGTAATGGACTGCGCGACCCGATCCGTGTCCGACCAGCCTGCCCGACCCGATGTGACCCGGTCCACCATTGCTAGTTGATCGTTGACCGCCCGTTGAGTGTTGAGCAAACAGTCAAAATTTTTGAAAAGTCATATTTTATGTTTTTCGACGTCCTGAGTCCGATTCTGAATTTCGTTTTTCCAAATTCGAACCTGAAAGCCTCCAAATTGACCATCAAACCCAAATATGCTTAAGTAATTGAATGTTTTAATTTTGGAAAAATTAAAGTAAGACTTGGGACTGATAAATTATTATTGTTTGAATGTACTAGAGACTTATCTGACCGCTCGACCCAGCTCTTCTCAATCTGTTAGGCTACGAGAGTCGATAGTCACTCGTATGAATCATGAACTTTTCGAATACCCGATTTAAAATATTACCCCGATATTAACTCTGATATATATGAATTAGGTTCGAGCACTATAATAGAGCATGACGAGGCTGGTACTCAGTAGGTTTAATGTGTGTCCTATTTTAAGAGGTGTGTTCCCTATGTGCTATTTGAAGGTTTTATCTGGTTTGATATATATATATATATATATATATATATATATATATATATATCACTGAAATTTATGATTTAATGGATGATGGTTCATGAACTATGATGGAACGATGTGTGATATTTAAATGATTGTTTTCACTGGACGGTATTATTTTACCGAATATTGATCACGTAAATCTTTTCTTGTTATATGAAATATATTATCATGATATTATCTGGGTAGGCTATAGTATGAAGGTGCAACCTTGATCAAGATGGTAAATCCTTACGGACCTAAGGCGACTCTTGAGTAGGCCTTCAGGCCCTAAGATGTTCCCTTAGGTTGGCTCCTTATACCAATGGGTATAAGGTTGCCCTATGGACGCAGTTTTGGGAAACTACATATGGTGTAAGGGAGGAGCGTATATTATGTGATTTAATATCTTATATTTTATCAAGATTTCCATAATACTTTACTGGACTATTACTTGATGATTTTCCATATAATGTTTTTATTGCACTAATAGGTCACACTGAGCCCTAGCTCACTTTTCAAACTGTCTCCCCCTTCCAGATACGTGTGGATAGGCAGATTCAGGCACTACGAGGATCGACACATTATAGAATAACTTTTTGTTGTAATGTTTCTATCTTCAGAATCGCTTTTAATTATGTGACATGGACATTGTTTTGACATACTCATTTTATGATGATGATGATGTTTACGGATTTTGCTATTGTACTTCAGGTTTATGACATGTTTTGTTTTATGTAATTATTTTTCTTGTTTTATAATTACGAGTTAAACTTTTATAGTTAATTATTTTACTTTTATAAATGTTAATGGCAATAAGGTTTTAAATTATCAAATAACGTTTTAGAAACATGTTTTAAGAAATTTTAAAGTAATTCACTAGACTTAGTCGAAACGTATAAGCTGGGTTTATGGGGTTACATTTTATTGGTATTAGAGCTTGTGGTTTTTAAACCTCGAATTGTAAATGGGTCCCCCATAAAATTGTAAACTATTTTGAAAACGCTTTATAAAATTGTTATAAGGCCATGTCACCCATTTTTACAAGTTAAATGTGTCCAGTACTCTAGTGCCAATCTAACTTTAACTATACCTTTTTTAGTGAATTAGAGATCCTTGTCAATGAGTGTCATATAAGGTCGTTGGCCTAGCCGTGGGCAAGGTCGAGTTGTTCGATTCTCTGACCCAGTTGAAGACATTGTTATAGACCCGCTACATGCTCCCAAGATAGATACGTTGAATCCTATCAGGGGAGCTCCCGACTCTAGTTTTGAGCCTATTAGAGTGGTGCTTGATGAGACTCTTGGTAGGCAGTTTCTGTAACTGATTCAGAGTACAATTACAGCTATTGGTATTGTCCCTGAGGTATCAATTTCTCATACTCTGAAAGCTAATGGGGTCAGGACTTTTAGAGGTTTGATTGGTGGAGCTCCTACTAAAGCTGAAGATTGGCTCTATAATACAGAAAGACGTATGGATCAATTGGGTTGGACCCAGTTAAGAGATATATGGGTGCAGTTGCGATGTTAGATGGGAATACCCACACTTTGTGGGAGTCAGTAGTCAGTAGTATCCCAGTTGATCGTTTGACTTGGTAGTTCTTCAAAGAGCGCTTCAAGAAGCGTTTTTTGGGTGAGGGTTATCTGTCTGAGAGACAATAGAAGTTCCAAGACTTGGTGCAGGATGATATATCAGTCTCTGAGTACGAGATAGAATTCTTGAAACTGTTAAAATATGAAATTAGTATGGTTCCCACTGAGAGAGATAGATGCCGTAAGTTTGCTCTCGGACTCAGATATGAGCTGCATAGGCAGGTTGTGACCCACCAGGATGAGATTTTTTATGTGCTGGTAGGCAAAGAGAAAGATGCTGAGGATGTGGATCCTTTACCTCCTGGTAGAGAGCGTGTCGATCAAGAGTGATCTAGGAAGTCATTTTGGCCCTACTGAGTCTTCTATACAGTCAGGAAAGAGGACTCATACTTCATCCCCTTATAAGAGCAATACTCATTCCAGGCATGTAGCGTCTTTACCCTCAGTTGTTAGTCGAGGTGGTTCTTCTGGGTTGCCTTATGCCCCTTGTGGTAATCGACACAGAGGAGAGTGTCGTAAGAATAAGGGTGTTTGCTACCAGTGTGGTTCGAGTGGTGTCATTTCTGAAGGGACTGTCCACATCTAACTTCATCTGAGTGGACAACTACTCTGACTCCTGCACGTTCGCATGCATCAGTTCATACCCAAGTCAGAGGTCATAGTCAGGGAAAGCCTTCCGGATCAGCATCTATGGAAGGTAGTGCCCAACCCCAGCAGAGCCTAAAGCTTGCAGGTTCGAGGCCAGCTAGCCAACTCTAGTGTGTGCTACCAGACGTTGGGATGACAGAGATGAGCCAGAGGTTATTGCAGGTACATTTACCATATATTATGTTCCATACTTTGCATTACTTGATAATAGCTCTACCCAATCCTACATATTGAGTTCAGTATCCTGAAACCTTCAGGTTTCGATTGAGGACACTGATAATATTGTTACGGTTACGACTCCAGTAGGACAATTAGTGTTGGTGAATAAGGTATTTTGACATTGTCTTCTGGAGGTTCAGGAGTTTGATTTAAATATGGGGATGAACTGGTTGAATAAACATAAGGTCAATTTGGATTGTCAATACAAAAGAGCTAATCCAAAGACTTCTGATGGTCGGATTATAGTGTTAATTGGTGAACGTTGCGACTATCTCTCCAATATAGTTTTGGCTATGGTAATTGATCGTATGGTCTAGAAGGGATATGAGACTTTTAGTGTATGTATTTTTAACACTAAGGGTTCCTTGTTCACGATTGAGAAGATTCGTACAGTTAACGAGTTTTTCGATGTTCTCCCGGAGGAGTTGCCAGGGTATCTCCTGGTACAGAGGTAGAGTTCGAGATTGAGACTTATCCCGGATCTGTACCTGTTTCCATGTCGCCTTATCGCATGGCTCCAGAGGAACTTAAGGAGTTGAAGGTTCAATTGCAAGAATTATTCGACTGAGGATTTATCAAGCATAGTACCTCACCTTGGGAGTTCTAGTTCTGTTTATGAAAAAGAAGATGGATCGCGAGCTATGTATTGACTACCAAAAGTTTGAACAAGATGATGGTTAAAAAAGTACCCACTACCCAGGATTGATGACTTATTTGATCAATTGCGATGAGCTATTATATTCTCTATGATTGATATTCGTTCGGAGTACTATCAGTTAAAAGTTAAAGGTTTCGATGTTGCGAAAAACGGTCATTCGCACTAGATATAGGCATTATGAGTTTTTGGTGATGCCTTTTGGGCTAAGAATGCTCCCATAGCTTTTATAGACATGATGAATCGTGTGTTCCGGCCATATTGATTAGTATTCATTGATGATATTCTGGTCTATTCCCGAACCGAGGCAGAGCATGATGAGCATTTGAAGATTGTTCTGCAGACTATGAGAGCATCGGTTGTATGCTAAGTTAAACAAATGTGAGTTTTGGCTTTAGGAGGTGTCATTCCTGGGCATATTATTTCGGCAAGAGGTATTCAGGTGGATCCGAGAATATTAAGGCTATTGTGAGTTGGAAGCGACCCAAGAATATCTCTGAGATTCGTAGTTTCTTGGGCTTAGCAGGTTATTATCGATATTTTATAAAAATGGTTCTCCATAATTGCTACTCCATTGACAAAGTTGTTGAGGAAGAATGTCTCGTTTGAATGCAACGAAGCACAACAAGAGAGTTTTGAGAAATTAAAGGTGGTTTTGACTCAAGCTCCAGTGTTGACTCAAGCTGAGCCCGACAAAGATTTTACAGTGTATAGTGACGCTTCAGACTCCGGTCTTGGTTGTTTTTTTATGCAATAGGGTAAGGTAGTAGCTTATGCGTCATGTCAACTGTGCCCGCATGAGTGTAATTATCTAACCCTGATTTAGAGTTAGCATCAGTGATATTGCCTTAAAGATGGAAACTGGTCTTTATAGATTTTTCTATTTCCCAGGTAGCATATGCAAGAGCTCTGTTACTCCACTAGACCTTTACCATAAGAATACACTTGTTCCTCCGCACTCTCTCATCTCGATCTAAGATCTGTACAGGTTCCTCCTCATATGATAAATCTAGTCTCAACTCAACATCCTACCACCGAATGATGTGAGTGGGTCCGGACGATATAACCTCAACATTGACACGTGAAAGACATCATGAATACGACTAAGCTGGAGAGGCAACTCAAGCTAGTAGCAACAGATCCTATTCTCTTCAAGATACGAAATGGTTCAATAAATCTTGGACTCAATTTACCCTTGCACCCGAATCAGTACTTTCTTCCATGGGGATACTTTTAAAAAAACCTGATCTCCAACCTCAAACTGGATATATTTCCTTCTCTGATCAGCATAAGACTTCTGTTTGTCAAATGCCTCATTCAGGCGATCATGGATCAATCTGACTGTGTCCTCCGTCTCGTGTCCTAACGCAGGACCCAAAGTTCGTTTATCATGTAATTCAGTCTAACAAATCAGGGTGTGACACGCTCATATAGTGCTTCATACGGTGCCATACGAATGCTGGCCTGGTAGCTGTTATTGTAAGCAAACTCAGCCAAAGGCAAAAAGTTCTCCCAGCTACCATGAAATCAATCACGTAGCCCCACAACATATCCTCTAGAACATGAATCACACTCTCTAATTGACCATCAGTCTGCAGGTGGAATGCTGTACTAAAATCCAATCTTGTACTCAGACCCATATGCAGTGCCTTCCAGAATATCGAAGTAAATCTCAGATCTCGATCAGAAATGATAGATAACGAGATCCATGCAATCTGACGATCTCTAAGATATACAACCTAGCCAGCTTATCCAACATATAATTTACCGGCACATGAATGAAGTGAGCTGACTTTGTAAGTCTGTCAACAATCACCCAGACTGAATCCTTTTTCGAAGGATTCATAGGCAACCCAGTAATGAAATTCATGGTAATTCGCTCCCATTTCAACTCAGGAATCTTGATAGGTTGTAACAACCTTGACGGATGTTGATGCTCTGTCTTAACTTGCTAATAAGTTAAACATTTAGCCAGAAAATCAAAGATGTCTTTCTTCATGCCGATCCAATGATATATCTATCTCAGATTCCGGTACATCTTATTTCTACCAGGGTGTATAGCATATGTACTACTATGAGCCTCACAGAGGATAGCTTGCCTCAACTCTGCATTATCAGGCACATAATATCGACCCTTGAAGCATAACATTCCATCTTGGTCAACATCATAATCAAAGGTCATTCCCTACTCCACTTGCTCATAAATGAAAAGCAAGAGCTATCAAGAGATTGCTTTGCCTTGATCTCTTCAACCAAGGTTGGCTTAACCTGTAATTCTTCTAATAGAGTGTCATCATTAAATAAATTCATCCTGGCCATTATGGACCTCAAATCAGTTATTGCTTTTCAACTCAAGCATCTACAACGATGTTAGCTTTACCAAGATGATAATCAATCACGTATCTTAATCCTTCATAAGCTCTAGCCAACGACACTGCCTCAAATTAAGCTCCTTCTGGGTCAAAAGATATTTTAAGCTCTTATATCAGTAAAAATGCAACACTTCTCTCCATAAAGATAGTGTCTCCAGATCTGTAAGGCAAAATCACTGCTGCGAACTCCAAAACATGGTCGGATAATTACACTCATGCGGGCGCAGCTAACGGGATACATAAGCTACTACCTTACCCTCCTGCATCAAAACATAGCCAAGACGGGAGTGTAAAGCGTCACTGTACACTGTAAAATCCTTCTCGAGCTCAGGTTGAGTTAACACTGGAGCTTGAATCAAAACCACCTTTAATTTCTCAAAACTCTCCTATTGTGCTTCACTCCATTCAAACGGGACATTCTTCCTCAACAACTTCGTCGATGGAGTATTAATGATGGAGAACCCTTCTACAAAACGTCGATAATAACCTTCTAAGCCCAAGAAACTACGAATCTTAGAGACCTTCTAAGCCCTCGATAATAATCTTGCTCGGATCCACCTGAATACCCTTTTCCATAATAATATGCCCAAGGAATGACCTCTCGAAGCCAAAACTCACATTGCTCAACTTAGCATACAACCGATGCTCTCTCAGAGTTTGCAGAACAATCTTTAAATGCTCATCATGCTCTGTCTCAATTCGGGAATAGAATAGAATATCACAATGAATACTACTACAAACTGATCCAATTATGGTCGAAACACACGATTTATTAGGTCTATAAAAGTTCGGGAGCATTCGTCAGACCAAAAGGATCACAAAAACTCATAATGCCATATCTAGTGTGAGTGGCAGTCTTCACAACATCAGAACCTTTAACTTTTAACTGATAATACCCCGAACGAAGATCAATCTTAGAGAATACAGTAGCTACGCAATTGATCAAATAAGTCATTAATCCTGGGTAGTGGGTATTAATTCTTAACGTCATCTTGTTCAACTTTCGGTAGTCAAACATAGCCTCAACGATCCATCCTTCTTTTTCACAAACAGAACTGGAGCTCCACAAGGTGAGGTACTATGCCTGATAAATCCTCGATCGAATAATTCTTGCAACTGAACTTCGAATCCTTAAGTTCCTTTGGAGCCATGCGATAGGGTGGCATGGAAAAAAGTGCAGATCCAGTATAAGTCTCAATCTCGAACTTACCCTTTATCAGGAGGTAACCCTAGTACTCTTTGAGAAGACATAGAAAACTCACTAACTGTACGAATATCCTCAATCGTGGACAAGGAACCTTTAGTGTTTAAAATACAAGCAATAAATGTCTATCCCTTCCAGACCATACGATCAATTACTATAGCTGAAACTATATTTGAGAGATAGCATCAAACGTTCACCAATTAACACAACAATCTGACCATCAGAAGTCTTCAAATTAGCTCTATGTATTCATAATCTAAATGGACCTTATGTTTTATTCAACCAATCCATCCCCAGAATTAAATCAAACTCCCTAAAGGAAGCTCCATAAGGTCGGCAAGAAAAATTTCACCTTGAACCTCCAGAGGACAATGTCGAAATACCTTATTCACAAACATGACTGTCCTACAGGATTCGTAACCGTAACAATAACAATATTACTTGTTTCCTCAATCAGAATCTGAAGGTTTCGGGATACTGAACTCGATACGTAGGAATACCTGCAATAACCTCTGGCTCATCTTTGTATCCCGACCTCTGGTAGCATACACTACAGCTGGTTATCTGGCCTCTGAAACTGCAGGCTTTAGGCTCTGCTAGGTCGAACACTATTTTCCTGGATACTGATCCGAAAGACTTTCCCTGACTTCGACCTCTGACCGGAGTATGAACTATTGCATGCGAACGTGCAGGAGTCGGAGTAGCTGTCTGCTCAGATGAAGTTAGCTATGGACAGCCCTCTGGAAATGACTAGTGGAATACACTGGTAGAAAATGCCCATCTTCTTACGACACTATCCTCTGTGTCGATTACCATAATATCATAAAAGGGAACCTGAGGCAACCCAGAAGAACCATCTCGACTAACAGCTGAGGGTAAAGACGCTGTAGGCCTGGAACAAGTATGCTCTTATGAGGGGCCGAAGTACGAGTCATTTTTCTTGACTATGCAGAAGACTCAGTAGGGCCAAAAGATTCTTAGATTGCTCTGATCGACACGCTCTCTACCAGGAGATAAAGCCTCCCCTCCTCAGCATCTTTCGCTCTTCCCACCAACATATCAAAACTCTCATCCTGGTGGGTCACAACCTGCCTATGCAGCTCATATCTGAGTCGATAGCAAACTTGTGGTATCTTTCTCTCTCAGTGGGAATCAGAGTAATGTCGTAATTAAACAGTTTTAATAATTCATCTCGTACTCAGAGATTGACGTATCATCTTGCACCAAGTCTTAGAATTGTGTTCGTCTCTCAGCTAGATAACGTTCAGCCATAAACGCTTCCTAAAGCGCTCTTTAAAGCTCTCCTAAGTCAAATGATCAGCTGGGACACTACTGACTACTGACTCTCACCAAGTGTGGGCATTCCCATCTAACATCGCAACTGCACTCAGATATCTCTTAGATTGGTCCAAACCAATGATCCATACATTTTTCGTATCATGGAGCTAATCTTTAGCTTCAGTAGGAGCTCCACTAATCGGATCTCTAAAAATCCTGACCCCATTAGTTATCAGAGTCTGAAATTGATACCTCATGGATAATACCAGCAGGCTCTAACCGTACCCTAAATCAGTTACATAAACTGCCCACCGAGAGTCTCATCAAGCCACTCTCGTAGGCTTAGAACTAGAGTCAGAAGCTCCCTTGACAGGAGTCGACATATCTATCTCTAGAGCAAGTGGCGGGTTTATAGCGGAGTCATCAATGGGTCAGAAAACCAAGCAGCTCTTGCCCAACGGCTAGGGCGACGACCTCATTTTCCACTCATCGATAAGGATCTAATTCACTACAAAAGGTATACTTAAGCTTAGATTGACATAGAGTACTGGACACATTTAACTTGTAAAAACAGGTGATATGACCTTATAACAATTTGTAAAACATTTTCAAAATAGTTTAAAATTTTGTGGGGGACCCATTTACAGTCTGAGGTTTAAAAACCACAATCTCTGACCAATAAAAATGTATCCCCTAGACCAGTCTACATTTCGACTAGTTTAGTGAATTACTTTAAAGTTTCTTAAAACATTTTTCTAAAGAATTTGATAATTTAAAACGTATTGCAATTAATATTATAAAAGTAAAATAATTAACTATAAAAGTTTAACTCGTAATTATAAAACAAGAAAACATTTATAAAACAAAACATGTCATAAACCTCAAGTACATTAGCAAAATCCGTAGACATATCATCATAAAACGAATATGTCAAACAAAGGCTCATGTCATAATTAAAAGCAATTCTGAAGATAGAAACATTACAACAAAAGTTCTTTATAATTGTCGATCCTCCTACTGCCTGAATATGCCTATCCACATATATATCCGGAAGGTGGAAAAATAGTTTGAAAAGTGAGCTAGGGCTCAGTGTGTCCCATTAGTGCAATAAAAACATTATATGAAAAAATCAAGTAATAGTCCAGTAAAGTATCATGGAAATCCCGATAACATATAAGATACTAAATCACATAATATACCTTCATCCCTTAAACCTTATGCAGTTTCCCAGAATTACATCCATAGGGTAGCTTATACTTATTGGTATAAGGAGCCACCTAAGGGAACATTGTGGGGCCTGAAAGTCTACCCAAGAGTGACTTAGGTCCGTCAGGATTTACCAGCTGATTATGGTGTATCTCCATACTCAGTCTACCCCAGATAATATCCCATAACAATTTCATATAGGCAAAGATTTCCACGATTAAATTCAGTAAAATTATACCGTCCTGTGTATATATATATATATTTATCAAACCAGATAAAATCATCGAATGACACATAGGGAATACACATATTAAAATAGGACACACAGTAAAAATACTGAGATCGGCTCATCACGCTCTACTATAGTGCTCGAACCTAATTCATATCAATCAGAGTTAATATCGAAGTAATATTTTAAATCGAGTATTCGAAAAGTTAACGATTATACGAGTGACTATTGACTCCGTAGCCTAATAGATCGAGAAAAGGTGGGTCGAGATGGCGAGCGATCAATATTGTGTGCCTGATAATACAAAGTTGAGGCATGTTATCCTCAATGAGGCTTATAGTAGTACACATTCTATGCACCCCTATGGAGATAAGATGTATCGAAATCTGAGAGAGAGATATCATTGTATCAGCATGAAGAAAGACATCTCTAATTTATGGCGAGATGTTTGACATTCAGCATATTAAGTCAGAGCATAAGCATCCGTCAGGTTTGTTACATCTTATCAAGATTCTTGAGTGGAAATGGGAGCGAATTATCGTAGATTTCGTTACTGGGTTACTATGACTCCTTCAAAAAAATTATTTAGTATGGGTGATTGTTGACAGACTTACAAAGTCGGCTCACTTCATTCTTATGCGGGTAAATTATACGTTGGACAAGTGGCTAGGTTGTATATCTTGAAGATCATCAGATTGTATGGTGTCCTGTTATCTATCATTTTTGATCGGGATACGAGATTTACTTAGAGATTCTGGAAGGAACTGCATATGGGTTTGGGTATGATATTGGATTTTGTACAACATTCCACTCAAACTGATGGTCAATCAGAGAGAGTGATTCAGGTTCTGTAGGATATGTTGCGGGGTTGCGTGATTGGTTTTCATGGTAGC